ACATATGTCTATCTCCAAGTGTCATTTGGCTTGTCCAATGCCCCAGGAACTTTTCAAAGATGTATGATGGAGATATTTAGTGATATGGTGGAAAATATTGTAAAGGTGGTCATGGATGACTTCTCAGTGTTTGGAGACTCATTTGAAGGCTATTTGGAGAATTTGGAGAAAGTTTTAGAGAGATGCGAAGAGAATAATTTGGTGCTTAACTGGGAGAAGTGCTACTTCATGGTAACACAAGGGATTGTGCTTGGACACACTGTGTAAGCAAAGGGAATCGAAGTGGACAAGTCTAAAGTGTAAGTGATTTCCAACCTACCCACTCTAAGGGTAGTCAAGGACATTAGGTCGTTTCTTGGCCATGCAATTTTTTATCGCCGTTTCATTAAGGATTTTAGTGCATTAGCAAGACCTTTGACAAATTTGTTAGTAAAGGATGTCTCATTCGTGTGGTCAGATGATTGTGAGGCATATTTTAAAAAACTTAAAAGTATGCTTGGCTCACCTCCAATCAAGCGACCACCCAAGTGGGAGCTCCCACTTGAGCACATATGCGAGGCGAGTGATAATGCGGTTAACGCAGTGCTAGGTTAAAGGGAAGATAAAGGCCGTATGTAATATACTATGCAAGTAAAACTCTAAATGAAGCACAAATGAATGACACCACTCCTGTTGCTAGTCGTGGTGTTTGCATTGGATAAATTTAGGTCATACATCATTGGTTCACCTCGTAGTTGACACTGATCACTCTACTTTGAAGTATTTGTTGTCTAAGCAAGACGCTAAACCAAGACTCATTAGGTGGATCCTCCTCCTTCAAGAATTCAACCTAATCATCAAAGACAAAAAAGGAGTCGAGAATGAGGTGGTGGACCATTTGTCGCGGCTTATTGTCCAAGACGCCAAAGAGCACATCTCTATTCCTGATTCTTTCCCTGATGAGCATCTATTTTCTATCAATTTAGTTTTTCCATGGTATGCTGACATTTGCAATTTTTTTACCACATGACAAATTTGCCCACATTGGAGCCTAGAAGATAAGAGAAGATTCATAGCGGATGTGAAGTACTTCTACTTCGATAACTCGTACCTGTTCAAATATTGCCCTAATCAAGTCATGAGGAGGTGCGTACAAAAAAATTAACAGCAAGATGTCCTTTCTTTCTGTCATTTTGAAACGTGTTATGGGCACTTCTCTTCCAAGAAGACTTCAGCTAAGATTTTACAAAGTGATTTTTATTGGCCTACACTGATTAAATATTGTGTCTCATTTTGTAAGCAATATGATAGATGTCAAAAATTGGGAAGTGTGAGCAGTAGCATCGGAGCTAGCTTGGCAAGAGATGAGCTCGAGCTTCATCATTATCTGAGTCGAGCAAGAGCGTCTTTCTTCTTCTCGAGTGAAGTAGCTTACTATTGCTCTGGGTGCTAGCCTCTATGCCTTTGCTTCGTGCTAATGCCCTTATGTTTGCGTTGTGTGCTCTGTGAGTTCTAGCTAGGAAGCAAGCGCAGCAAAGGAGCATACATGATGCCCCTCTCCCCCATGCTTGTCATTGAAATTTTGATTTTTAGAGCATCAATTTCATAGGTTCATTCCCTATATCTTTTGGCTACCTTTATATCCTTTTGGTTGTGGACTATTTGTCCAAGTGCGTAGAGGAAATCCCGACCAAGACCAATAACCACCAAGTTGTGGTCAAGTTTTTAAAAGAAAATATCTTTTCTAGGTTTGGGATGCCTCGTGCAATGATAAGTGATGGTGGCTCACATTTTTGCAATAGACCATTTGCTTCGTTGATGCATAGATATGGCGTAACCCACAATATGTCCACCGCTTATCACCCACAAACTAATGGCCAAGTTGAGTTGGCCAAGAGGGAGATAAAGAGAATACTTGAGAAAACGATTAACCCGAATCACAAAGATTGGTTACTCAGGTTGACCGATACCTTATGGGCTTACCGTACCGCATATAAGACCATTCTTGGTATGTCTCCCAATCGGCTAGTCTACAGCAAGGCTTATCACTTGCCGGTGGAAATAGAGCACAAGGCATATTGGCCCATAAAAACCTTGAATTTCAACCTGAGACTAGTTAGGGAACATAGAAAGTTGGAGTTACATGAATTGGAAGAAATTTGTAGAGATACATATAAGAACTCTATAATTCACAAGGAAAGGGCCAAAATTTTTCATGAATAAAATATTTGAGCCCGCCCAAAAAGTACTCTTGTATTATTCGCGCTCTCCATTTTTCAAGGAAAACTCCAATCGAGATGGGATGGCCCCTACATTGTCATGGTGGTCTATCCACTCGGAGCCGTAGACATAAAAAACCCTAAAGATGCTAAAACATTCAAGGTCAATGGCCAAAAACTTAAACTATTCTTCGAGGGTTTTGAAATTCAAGAAGTGGATAAGTTGGTGGATCCAATCTATCCGAATGTTGTTGAGGCATAACTATTCAAGTAGACATTAGTGTATAGTTGTTTTCCTTTGCCTTTACTTTACAAGTTAAATCTTTTACTTACTTTCATTTGTACATGGTGTTCTTTCTTCATGTGTGCAGATAGTGGTATCTTTGTTAAAGCTCATTGCAAGGTGTTCTCTTACCCTTCTTGTCTTTTAAATTCCATCATCTCATTGCATGTTTTTTTGTTGCATTGAGGACAATATGTAGTCAAGTTAGGGGGTGAGGTGCACCATTTGTATGCTACACCAATTTTTGTTGACAATACCATTTTGTGGTGAGATGCACCATTCACATATTCTACCAATTTTTGTGTAGAATAGTTGAAAATATGTGAAAATTTTTTGTGGAAAATATCTGAATGTTGAACCATATTCTCCTATTCAAATTGTTATGGGGTCCATGATAGCTTGATCTTTGCTTTGAACTTTGAATACATGAGCACATCATAGAAGTTTATCCTATGCCTGAGTAGCAAATATGTGTTTTCATTCAAACTCAACCATAGTGCACCTTGAATGTGTAATTTCGGCAATTTACTGATTGGATCCATATTTTAAAGCTTGACATACATAGTGGAGATAAAGTAAGTACCCATGTGAGCTATACTGTCAATCCTCGTTGGAGGAAACTTACATTTACTCAAATGAACAATTTTAAATTCAAGATATGTTCAATAATCTCATTATGCTTGCTTTGGTTAGAGTGCATATAGATAGTTGATTGACTTTTTCTTAAAATTTCAATATGCTTCCCCATGCTTATCTAGAGATGATCTTAGGCCTTCTTTGAATTGCGTTGAGGCTTAGCCTTTTCTTGTGAAAAATTTATCCCTTGTGCCGTGATTGAGCCTTAATTGAAAATTTGTTTCCATGCCACATGTTTCTACCAAGCCAGTGCAAAATGATTACAACTACCACACCTTGGTTTTTCCGAGACTGATTGTGATTAATCATGAGGAAAGGGAAATGTGGTAAGGAAACTCAAAAAGGGATGAATGGCATTGAATGCAAAAAGAAGAAAGAAAGCCAAGAAAAAAGAGAAAATGGGGATTGAAAAAGAAAAGAAAATAAATGAAAAAAAAAATAAGAAAAATGTTGAGGAAAGAAGAAAAAAAAAGAGACATAAAGTGACGTGGAGGGGTAAAGCTGAAAATTTCACAAAAAGGAGATTTTTGATAATAAAAGTCATGCTTTCAGAATAACCCTTTTTGTCTCCTTCTATCTTTCATTTCACTCAGCCCAATTATCACCCCAAGGCTTCATTACAACCCATGAAAGCCCTAAATGATCTAGAGAAAGTATGGTGAGAGCATACTTTAAATGAAAGAAAATTTGGTCCTGCTATCTAGTGCCCTAAAATTCCATTCATGAGATTATGCCAAGATCGTTTCAATTGTTATGCATGCATGTAATTTTTTGGATTATATGTGAGCATATTTTGGTTTGTACACTAGATTTCATCTCATATATACACATTGAGAGCATGCCAGGAGAAACCCTTGGTGAGAATTGCATCAAAGCCAAATTTGGATAGCTAAATGAATGTAGATTCTGCTGAGTAAAGGTTTAAATTGCATATTCATTTCACACACGAGTTTTGAAAGAAAATGTGTAGGTGGACACTCTAGAATAGTATTTAAAGCTATGATGAGACTCATGTGTGATTAGTTCAGGTGACTGAAAAGTTGTGTTTGGCAACCCAGAGCTAGTAGGATAAGGGAATATTGCTCAAATTTTAGTTATGGGAAAGAAAGACGAATACACTTTTTAGTCTAGTTTGTGTTTTACTTGTTGGGTGTTCATTTTTTTGAATTTAGAATTCTATGTCATGTGTTTTGAAAGCATCAAGAATCAAATAGCATCACAAATTTGTAAATGAATTTGGGCATAGTCGTACAACGTGATTCACTAGCATGGTTCCTGTCTTTGGGTAGTTGAGTTAGGAAATAGGTTATTAGAATGTTTTGGAGTTGAATAAACTTGGAGTGGGAGTGAGAATGAGAAAACAGGATTTTTTTTTGGGCAAAAATTGAGTCAGCTACCGGTAGTATAATCATGACCTACTGGTAGCAATTTTCCAGAAGGGTCAGGTACCGGTAGCTCATGCCCAAAATTGCAATAAACGAGGGTTTTAAACCCATTTTTTTTGGAAAAACCCTTCATCTCTCTCATTGCTTTCCTTCTCAAAAACACTCTCTCCTACCTCAAAACCCTCCAAACCTTTAAAGAACCCTTGGGCATCCTTCATCTCCATCAATTTACTCCCTCAAGCTTTGATTCCCCTTGATTTCTCCTCACTTCCCTAACTTCTTTTCTCTCAAAAACCCCAAAAACCCTCTCTTCTCCATAAAACATCACCAAATCCATCAAAAGCCGTGATTTTCACCCAACACCTGAATTTTTGAACAATGGCTAGAATGGGTAAGTCTCCACCTTCATCTCTTGGTATTTTTGAGTTATTTTGGGGCTGGGTGTTCCCGTTCTTCACCTTAGGGGTATTTTTTATTTTGATGGCCCATACCAAACAAATGGGCCCTGTCTCATCACCACAAGCAAGAACTGGGTCCCGCAAGAGGGCGGAGGAGGCGGGCCCCAGCAAAGGGGAACCAAGGAAGAAAAAGAAGCACGACCCTCAAACAAAGGGCATTAAATCCAAGAATGTGACATGTGAGCGGCAAGTGGATAAGCCCACCCTCGAGGCACACAATGATATGGTCCGGGCGATTGAGGGTCATGGGCTACACTTTTGGTTCCAGGCTGTGGAAGGGTATGTGCTTTCCATTCTTCAAAAATTTTACCAAAAGTTGGGGGTGGTGGATGAAGATTTGTTTTTATTAAAGAAAAAAGTGAGGAAAAAGGTGATTGAGGTCACTTTGGCAGTCATTGTCGAGGCATTGCAGTAACACAGGCTTGTTGCCAACACCCCTGTCTTTCCCCATAACACCTAAGGGATGAAGTCACTCCAAGAGAACGTGAGCCTGATGTATGAGGACCCTTTATAGTTCAAAGGAAAAATTCAAGTCGGGGGACTCAAACATTCCTACAAGGTGATGAATAAGGTCCTTCACTGCAATCTTTTTCCTCGGGGTGCGTAGAAGACACCAAGGGAGGAGAAACTAACCCTCCTTTATGAGTTCATGGCTAGCACCAGGATGGACATCACCTTGATGATTTAGGAGGTGATGAAGGACTACGCCCAAACTATGAAGCTGAGGGCAAACCTTCCTTGCGCCCACCTTGTCACCAAGATCTACCGCCAAAACAAGGTCAAGGGCAACCCTACAGACGTTACACTCCTGCCTGAGTTCAACCTATAGGCAAGCTGAGCAACATGAAGAGGACAGCTATGACAAGAGGGTCCGAATAGAGAGAAGAGAGAGCTACGCCATCTAGGGCTGAGCCACCTATAGTCGAACCATCCACAGTCGGGCCATCTACTGCTGCCCCACCTCTAATGGCCTCTCAGCATCTAGATGGGATTAAGGGGAAGTTGGATAATTTTGGGGGGACTATGCAACAACTAAAGCTGATGGTGACCAAGATTTTTGAGAGGACATTCCCTAGGGAGCCTCTCCCCGAGATGCCACCACAATCGGCCACTACACCAAAGTCCCTATCACCAGCTTGAGGGACTAGTGCTGACATCCGAGTGTCTGCCCCAGTAGGCTCAATTGTTGTTGTGGAGGTGGTTGGGACTGATGACAAGGAGGATGACGAGGATGAGGATGATGATGGGAATGATAAGAAGGATTAGAGAGATTTTAGTCTTGGTTATCTTTTGTTATTGTTTTGTTGGTTGTATAAAATGCGATAGTAGTGTAGGAATCTCCGACTTGGTAGAAGAATTCCTAGGATTGTAAGCCATTTTGTCTCAAGTCCATTGTACTTATTGAAAACTTCTCTAAATGAAAGAACTACACTTTTTGTTTCATTGTGCCCCGATCTCATTTACATAATTTCAATGCGATTTGAGTATTTTGTTGGTTTATGAATTATCTAACATAAATGAAATTGTTATACTAGCAGTACATAGTTTTGAAATAAAGTTTCCTTTGGACTAGCAAAGCTCAAGTTGGGGGGGGTTGATGAGTGTGGAACATTGCATATTAACATATTCATTACATCCAATTTAACTTGTTTTGTAGTGAATATTTGGGGAAATAGATTCAAATTGATAATTATTGGAGATTGGTATGATTGCAAGTGATAGGCTAAAGAGGACAACCATAAAGCAACCCATCAAGTGATCGAGGTAAATAGGAAAGAAAGGATCTCATGACTGATGGCTCAGGAACTCAAGGAACCAAGAATTTCAAGACAAGGAGATAAGCTATCGGTAGAAGACCTGCAAGACCTACCGGTAAAAGAGCCTACTGGAAAGTAGCTTCTAGTGCCTCCTTGCAAGACCTACCGGTAGGAGATTTATGAGCTACCGGTAGAAGACCCCACTGGAAATGAGCTACCAGTAGAAGACCTGCAAGATCTACCTGTAGAAGAGCCTACTAGAAAGCAGCCTCCCTACAAGACCTACCAGGTAGGATACTTACGAACTACTGGTAGAAGACCCTACTAGAAATGAGATACCAGTAGGAGCCTTACGAGCTACCGACAGAAGATGTCCAGGAAGCCTAGACACTTCTCCAAACAACTCCACCAACTACGGGGGCTCATCTTTTGTCACCTAATCCATGCTCTGACATTTCTAACACTCCATGATGATCTCCTATCCCCTATATTCAAAATTTAAGCATGAGGGGGTTGGTGGCCAATATAGAGAGAAGGAGTGGTTAGAAAAGCATGGGAGAACCATGCGTTGACTAATTTTGGAAGCTTTTGTGGACAACCTCTCTTCAATTAGTCCAAGTCTGCCATTTATTCTTAGAGGGAGTAGGGATGGACGAACATAGAGACTTCCTTCACAGAACTAGAGCTCATAAAAGTTTTAGAGAGAGACGATCCAAGGAAGAAGATGATGTTCTAGAGAGAGATGGTCCCATGAAGAAGGTGAAGTTCTAGAGAGAGACGATTATAGGAAGAAGATAAAGTTTTAGAGAGAGAAAGTTGTGTTTTACATTTTTCTTCACCATTTTCATTGTAGTAAGCTCCATTTCACATGTAATCTTTCTCTTTTGCACTTTAATCTCTTTTAATCAAGCTGTAATTAAGTTTAGTTAAGTTTTCCTGTAGTTCATTTGTACATTTGGGTTTTGTTCCCTTCAAGCTTTATATTTTGGAAATGAATGTTTTTTCTCTTGTAGTTTAAACTCCTTCTTACACTAATACAAGTTCATGCTTGATTTCATTACCATGTTTCTCTACTTCATATTGTTCTTACTTTTACCATGCATAACTAAACTTTTAGTTGGCTAATCCAAGAGGGATTTCCTCTTAGGTATGTGAAATCGACTATCTTCCATTCTTCCTTGCAACGTAAAGTGTTTACTTTGACTAGGTTGAGTACGGACGTGGTTGTGACTTTTGATACATCGTAGACTTGTCACAAGGTATGCTCTTGTCCAGCACAACTACATTAGTCCCTCACTTCCTACGAATCAATCAAATACTGCCCAATCACAAGTGTCCGGGTATCAAGCACACTCAGAGTTCTCACTAGGTGAGATGGCTGCGAATGAGACTAGAGTTATATCTAAGTGGCAAATCAAAGACACCATTGGTTGAATAAAATGAGTCAATTTGGCATTCCCATTGGAATGAACACTATGGATTAGCCAACCTTGCTTTCTTGCATATTTCTTAACTCACAACTCACCAAATTTCAAATCACGAGATTTTCTAATTTCACTTTTTCACAAATCACTCTTCAAAAACACTCGACCTCGCCTTCCTTGAAGAGACAACCTTAGAATACTCATTCTATGTAAAACATAACATTGGAAGTCTCTCTATGCTTAGGGAGCACTTTTGCACACATGCACACGTTTTTGTTCATCCACACACAATTTTCCCACTTCTTCCATTGAACTCAAGGGAGAGTAACACTCACCAATCTCTATAAGCCACATACACACAATTAGGATTGAGTTGGAAGTTAGGAAAAGTGATCAAGCACCTACCTCTTATGGCAAAATTTATCAACTTTATTAATTTAATGGGTATGCAAGATAGTGATTTCTCTGGATCTTCTTTTACTTGGTGTAATAACCATGAGGGGACTCATATGTGGCAAAGACTTGATAGGACATTTACTAATGTTCATTGAGGAGATAAATTTGATAATACATCTGTGGAGCATGTTGCTAGAGGATAATTTGATCACTGTCCATTGATTATTAAATTTTTTGAAACTGTTTCTCCTAGAAGGCTCTCATATTGTAAATGTTTGGACATGTGGACTGAGCATTCTGGTTTCCTTGGCTTGGTAGAGCATAGCTAGAGGATTAGCTATTTAACAAACCCAATTGTTGATGTCTTTCTGAAAGTAAAGAATGTAAAACCCTGTCTCAAGCAGTGGAATAAAGACACCTTTGGGAACATTTTTGATAACATAAAAAGGCATGAGATGGAGTTATTACAAGCTGAAGTAGAGATGGAGAGGCATAATACTATAGCAATTACTCAGGCATTGCAAATGGCAAAGGTGAATCTAGAAGACTCCTTGAGAATGGAGGAAATTTATTGAAGAAAGAAGGTCAATGTCAAATGGACAGTGGAGGGTGAAACAAAAACCATGCTATATCATGCCATAGTAAAGGGAAAATTTGTGAGAAATAAACTGGAGAAAATCAAAAATGCTTAAGGTGTTTGGTTAGAGGATGAGGATGAAATTGCTAGGTGTGGTGTGAATCATTTCTATGGTCTTTACAAATCTAGGATCATTCATTAGAGATTAAGCTCTTCTTAGTCATTCCATCTCTTCTTACTCTTGAAGACAATAATATGCTCACTTCTCCTATGTCTTTAGAGGAGTTAAGAAGGACTGCATTCTCTATGTTTGTGCACAGTGCTCTTGGACCAGATGGATTCTCAGGTAAGTTTTTTCACTGTTTTGGGATATCATTATGATGGATTTGTTAGCTACAGCAAATTTTTTCATGCAAAGGGGTGATATTCATAGGTCTGTTAATGCTATACTGGCACTCATACCTAAGAAGGATCACCCATCTTCTTTCTTTGAATTCAGGCCAATCAGTCTTTGTAACTTCCTTTACAAAATCTTTAATAAGCTGTTAGCATCCAGATTGAGTGGTGTCCTTCCCAAATTAATTTCTAAGGAACAACATGGATTTGTTTTAAGAAGTATTGGTGACAGTATTGCTCTTGCTCAGCTTATGGTGAATGAGCTTGACAAAAAAGTTGAGGCTGGTAATGTTATACTCAAGTTGGATATGATGAAGGTATTTGACATAATGGAATGGGATTTCATCCAACAAACTCTTACAAGCTTTGGATTTTCTGAGACCTTTGTAACTGTTATTGCAAATTGTTTTAAAAATTAGCACATTTCATTGGTCCTAAATGGTGCTAGACATGGATTTTTTCCAACTTCTAGTGGCTTGAGACAAGGAGACCTTCTATCTCCTTGTTTGTTTATAATAGTAGAGGAGGTGTTAAATAAAGGACTTCAACTGAAATTCTAGCAAGGTCTTGTTCAAGGGTTTCACACAGGAAGAGGATCTATCCTTGTCAGCCATCTCCTTTTTGCTAATAATACACTTATTTTCTTAAAGGGTAATAAGAAGTGAATGAGGAATCTACTACAGTTAGTTAGCAGGTGTGAAGCATCTTCGGGTCAAAGAGTTGACAAGCAAAAGAGCTCTCTTATTGCTCTTCTAAAATTCCTGTTGCAAGGAGAAATATGTTATCTACAATTGCTCAAATTCCACTAAAGGTTTGTCCACTCAATTACCTTGGGTGTCCAATAATAAGAGGAATTAAATTAATCTAATTTGAAGATTTTTTAAGCAAATTTTAATCTAGATTGGTATGCTATGCTCCTTCCTAATATGGAAAGAGTTGTTCTCATTCAATCTATGTGAATTCTATTCCAGTTCATCTCCTAATTATTTTAAATCTGCCAAAGAGGATCATTGCAAGATTAAATTCTATAATGGCATCCTTTCTCTAGTATGGCCAACCAAGTGTAAGCAAGAGACATTGGTGCTCTTGGAAGGACATCATTATGCCTAAGGAGGAGGGAGGCCTAGGTATTAGAAAATTTGGAGGTGTAGCAAACCTTTAGAATAAAGCAAGTATGGTAGCTTTTGCAAGGTTATGGCCAACCTTTTTTCTACTAAATACTTACATAATCAGCATATTTTAAGGAACATAAGGCAGAGATTTTCCAAATCCTTTACTTCTTTAGTTCCTTTTTTTGAAATTATTGTAACATATTCCCAGTTTTTTGTAGGGTTAGGTGGAACTACAGATTTTTGGTGTGATAATTAGATTGGTAAGGGTCCATTGATTATGAAATCATCTTCTATCCCCTCTGTCTTCCCTAAGCTTTCAGGAGGTCCTTGCTACTCAGCTAGTTTTGACTAATAGAGAGGATAAGCTTGTCTGGTAGCACACTACATTTGGGAATTTCACTGTAAAATCTGCTTGGAAAATTATCAGTCTGTTGGTCTACCTAATGTCCAAGCTAAAACTATTTGGAAACTGGTCTCTCTTCCTAGTTCTCAATTAGTGGGGTGGAAAATTTTGCACAATATATTGCCAATGGATTCAACTTTTCAAAATATTGGGGTCTCAATGGTAAGTAGATGTGTTTTGTGCTAATGGTGAATCTGAAAATTTCAAGCATGTGTTCATCAACTGCTGCTATGCTCGTGTAATTTGGACTAGAGTTTCACATCTAATGGGTTTTCAGGTTATTGCAAATGAGGATCCAAAAAATCTATAAGCATCCTTCTCCCAGATTAACACTTAATAAGTGGTATTTTTTTATTTGTCCACTGGAAATTATGGAACAAGAGGTGTAAAAGGCAATTTGAAGATCAAAATCTCCATTCGTCCACAATTTTTTAGACAATCATGAATCACTGTAAATTGCAGGTTCATAGAATTAGGCCTAAATCTATGGATTCTTCTGAAGGTATTGACCTTCTTCACTCCCTTAAAGTTTCTCCTGTAAGGTCATCCACTGTGTAGGTAAAATGGATTAACTAGATTGCTCCAGCTCAAGGCTTGCTAAAACTGAACATTGATGGAGCTTCTAAGGGGAATCCTGGGCTGTCTGGTGGTGGTGCTATCTTAGGGAATCAATGGGGCCAATTTGTCCTAGGTGGTTCCTATTATTAAGGTTTCTACACTAACATGGAAGCTGAACTTAGGTTCATAGCATGATGTACAGTGTGTCAGCAGGTGAAGGTGGAGGATCAAAAACCCAGAGGATTACTACAGTCCTTACTTATCTTAGAGTGAAAGTGGGATCACATCACCATAGATTTTGTGTCTGGTTTTCTCCAAACTTCACGAGGACACAATGTCGTATGGGTCATTGTTGATAGACTCACCAAGTCTGCTCATTTCTTGAGTATGAAGACCATTGACTCCTTAGAGACCTTAAGCAAGCTTTATATCCGTGAGATTGTTAGATTACATGGAGGTCCACTCTCTATCGTGTCGGATCGTGATTCGTGGTTTGTGATGCAATTCTGGCAAAGTCTACAACGAGCTATTGGGACAGAGTTACACTTTAGCACCGCTTTTCATCCTCAAACGGATGGCCAATCCGAGAGAGTGATACAAATTTTAGAGGACATGTTACGTGCTTGTGTGTTGGACTTCAAGGGAAGTTGAAGTGATCATTTTTCGTTGGTGGAATTTGCATATAACAATTTTCAATCTAGCATTGGCATGGCATCGTATGATGTATGGAAGACCATGTAGGTCCTCGACTTGTTGATTGGAAGCTAGAGAGAGTAGCTTGTTTGGGCCAGAAATTTTCTGGGAGACTACAAAAAAAATTCAACTCATCCAGAAGAGACTACGCACGACACAAAGTAGACAAAAAAGCTATGCGGATAGAAGACGAAGACCAATGGAATTTCAAGAAGGGGACTATGTGTTCTTCAAGGTGTCACCCAAAAAGTGAGTGTTTAGATTTGGCAAGAAGAAAAAATTAGCTCCAAGGTACATCGGACCATTTGAAGTGATCAAAGCGGTGGGCAAAGTGGCGTACCAACTTCGGTTACTAGCTCAGTTGTCAGGGTTATATGACGTGTTTCATGTGTCAATGTTGAGAAAGTGGCAATCGGATACAACGCATGTCGTGGACTTGGAGGATATAGAAATTTAAGATGGGGCAACATATGAAGAACAACCGGTGAAAGTTCTCGATACCAAGGAGAAGGGGTTTCGCAATAAATTCATCCAACTGGTGAAAGTCTTGTGGCAACATTATGGGGTGGAGGAAGTTAATTGAGAACCAAAGCTGGAGATGCGAGAGAAGTGCCCTCATTTATTTGCTACTTAAGGTAAGTTTCGAGGATGAAACTTTCTTTGAGGGGGGTGGATTGTAAACCCCCACACTCTCATCTTTATATAGCAAGTAATTATTTTTGAAATGCTAATATAAGTGAGGAGTTATGCATAAACCCTATAGATTGTAATAGTAAGAATAAATACTAGGGAGGCAAATTGATTATGAAATTTAATTTTTTGGAGGTGTTTAAGGTCGATAAGGGCAACTAAGTAAAAATATTAATTTTTTTAGATCAAAATAATATTATCATTAAACCTAGGAAATCCGAAAAACTTGGAATAGCCGTTTAGCACATATAGTGGTTCGGAGGAATAAAATAATAATTTTAGTGTTTTGAGTGTAAATTTATTTTAGTTTTGAGATAAATCATAAAATTAAATGTTTTTAGGTTAAAATAACATTAAAAATGAATCCGGAATGTCAAAAAACCTTAGAGTAGTCATATGGATCAAATTGGAGATTTTTAGTGATAAAACCGTAATTTTAGAAAAAAAAAAACCCAAATTTCAGCTCATGAACAGTAACTTTGAGACTGTTGTGTTTAAAACACAAATTTCAGCTCATTTTCTTCCATTCTTTCATTCAACTCTCACCCCAAACCTCTTAGAACCCTAGGAGAAGATAAAGGGAAAAAGAAAAAGGAAGAAAAAAGTCTCTAAAGCTTGGATTTTGCTTGGAATTCTTGATTGCTATGTAGGGGTTTCTTCTCACTCTTGTTCATTGAGGTTAGGGCTATATATATATATATATATATATATATATATATATATATATATATATATATATATATATATATATATATATATTGACTCTAAATTTTAGATTTATGTTATGGAATCACGGTTTCTTAAGATTGTTGCAAATCCTATCATGTTTTGAATGAAGTTATGGTTGATAGCCATGAAATCCTTGTTGTAATCTCAAAACCCTTGATTCTTTCAAGAAATAGAGGTTTTTCTTCTTGATATTCCTTGTTCTTGATTTCAAAATTCTAGTGCTTTGTTTGAACAATAAAAATATATGTTTGATGATCTCTTGCATATTTTTCTTGAATTTGCTCTGTTGGAAAAATACCTATGAAATTTGGGGGTTTTTGATTTACTTATGATTTGAGAAATTAGTTGGTATTATATCTCTTGTGTGGATGTTTGGATGACCATGGGTGGCCGTTGACTGGGTATCGTAGAGTGGGTAGATGCGTTTCTTACTCCGTGCAGGTTTGAATTTTTTCTACCACTCGTAGTGAGGTTGGTGTCTTGCGAGGACCAGACCACTATTCGCTCATGAGGTATCGAGGCTGAGGGTTAATATACTATTTCTAGGTTGGATTCGTCACTGCCGATGCGTCGGTATACGCCCTTCCTAAAGTTGGGTATCCTTGCGAGGATTGGGTGTGTGTGTGCGAGCCAGGATATTCTCAACGTGTGTATTCATGTGAAGTCTTACATCATACCTAAGATACATTGTGGGCTATTGTTTATTGTGAAAATTGTTGGTTATGGTTTATTGTGGACATGGGTTATTGTGGAAATGGTAATTTGTTGGAATTATTATTTTTGAGAATTGGTTTTACTTTTCATTTAATTATTGCTATTGTGTAAACCTGAGATCCATTAAAATATCTCTATTTTCCTTCAAAAGTTATATATGATATTTGTAAAATGAGGCCGACTGTTTTATATGCTTTCGAAATTTTGTTCGAATTTGGGAGGATTTTCTTACAGAGCTTAGTGCTCACCCCCTACAAACAATATCTTTTTCATATTATGGTTTAGAGGAGGAGCTTGGCATTGATAAGTCGGTACATTGAGAAGCTCCAATAGATGAGAACGTGAATCCCGAGGTGGACGTTTAGAGCTATATTCCCTTATGTTCTAGACTAGGAAATTCATTTTCAGAATGTAAAGTATAATATTTTCATTATTTCACTGCAAGTTAATAGTTGATTTTCTTTTGGATGTAATTGTCATAGTTTAGCATATTATTTTGAATGATGTTGTATATATTATGGATGATGAAGGAAATTCTCTTTTATTATGAAGTCCATTTAATTGCTCTCATGATGTGAATGGTTTTAAATAATAATGTCGTCCAAGGGAGATTTTGGGACGTTACAAATCGAACTTATATAGACTGTTTTAATGTAAAAGAAAAATTGCATGTGATTATATAAGTATGGATAAATGGATCTGGTGTGGTCAATGTTTACTTATAAATGAACCCGATATGATCAATATTTATTCATAAATAGACCTGGTGTGGTCAATGTAATATAATTGCACAAGTTATGTTTTGGATAAAATTTCTTGTACAAATGAGACTCTGTCCGAATTTTGTTAAATTAAAGACCCCTGATTTTTTAGGCATTACAGTAATTCATTGGCCGACTCTTTGGCGAACGAGGGAGTCATTGATATGGTCACCTCCACTTATTCTGTAGTTGATTCCCTTCCTATCTTAATAAGTCTCTTAATGCTTCAGGATTCGAGACAGCTAAGAGCCCTTCGGAAGAAAATCAGCTCTACAGTTAGGTCAACACTTTCAAAATCAATGCTTATCCTCAAGCTGCCTGTAGTCTTCAAGGCAATCACAGTTATAAAGCTATAGGGATTTTATCCTTTCATTGCTTTCAAAAATCTGTAATAGCATGCATTTTAATGTTTCTCATCTTCTCCTTGTATTTAGATGCATTTGTGGTAAGCTTCACATGTCCCCCTAGGTATAACACTTTTTAAAATTTATAAAATTCTCCCTTGCACCAAAAAAAATAATAAACATCCACATAATCACAATTTATACAATTCATGATGAGCTGGTGACTGAAATGAATGAATTGACTCAATTAACACACACCATAAGCCCTAATCAAACTATATGAGCTAAATCAAACATCAGCATACAAAGTTGATAAATTTGTAGTGTCACAGAACAAGAAGTGGAGAAGCAGTAATTGCTAATATTGACACACTAGGACCAGAAGTGCCAAAAAAATAAGCAGATATTAAGCTTCAAATCAAGTTTGGAAGATAAAAATTAAGGGCTTGATCTAACAGATCAACCAAAATAATCATTGATTACAAGAACCCTAGATTTAACCCCATAAATGAAATGAAGTTGAGAGAGAGGGGAGTGTGGAACAGTGATGGCGCCATGAACAACAGTGTCGTTCTTCAGTTCGATTGAGACAGTCTCGTTGTTCAATTTGATCAAAATCCTACAAAACAAAAATGTCAAAAAAAAATTTGATTACTATTGGAAAACAAACAACAAACAAATTTGTTCTAATCAAGAGCAAAACAACGGTGTTGTTCGATTTCATTACAATCCAACAAAACAAAATTGTCAAAACAAATCTGATTATTACAAATATCGTTGATGTCAAACAAATCGAAGGTTGAAAAAGAGGATCTGTACAGATCTGTTGGAGAGAGGTCAAGTATTAAAACTTACAGATCTGTGCCTTAGCTGATGGATTAGGATAGATCGTCGATGGCAGAGAGGTTGAAGAAGATGATGGTTTGACCGTCTGACGGATAGATGTTGCGGACGAATTGGGAGGTAGTCGATGGCCTAGGGTAAATATAGATGTCGAAACGACGTAATTTCAATTGATCAACTTTTACCTAAGAAAAAATGTTGTCGGTGAATCATAGGTCTTTTCTGAACTACCACTCTCAAAAGAGGCGCTTTTTTCTATAGTAAAGTTGCAAGTCTATTGTTGTGTTTTGGAACTAGAGGAACCAAATCTTCAACAAAAAAAATTTAAAATTAATTTTTTTATTAGCTACGAAATTTTCCTCTGTATTATTTGCCGAGGAAATTATAATTTTCTCCGTAAAAATCTTTTTGACCTACAAAATTTATTTCCTAGCTAAAAAATTTGTTGGTAAAGCGTGTTTTCGTTGTAGTGAAGGAGACCCATGGTTTGTCTTCTATTGCAATGGTGTGTTCCCCATAACGGTGATAGTGAGTGTGAACCATTTATTCTTATACTGTCTTATTGCGTTCTCACTATGGAATATACTCTTTAGTTATATGGGTATGTATTGGGTGGCACCAAGAACTATGTATTACATGATATACTTGGATATTATTAGAGGCAGGGGGGGAAAAATTGGCATTAGAAGACTACTTGACGCTCTACTTGCTTCGATACTATTTGGGTTATTTGGTTGAAAAAAAATTCTATGCTTTTTGATAGTGCGTGGAGGTTAAAGGCATTTGGAAAAGGATTTATTACTTGACATCCTTTCGAGCATCGGTCACATAAGAGTTTGAGAATATTCATCTTTTTTTGCATTATCTCAATTTAGGCATCGTTTATCATCCAAAAAAATAAGAACTGCTGTCTGCTGCCAATATCATCGGCATCTATCTTTTACTTTTCTTTTTTTGACCTATTGGTTTGTGAGATGGCGATATCTCCAAATTATGCTCATTAATCTTTTGCTAGTGCATTTGAAAGTTCAACGACCAAAGAAGTAGATTCCAAATACATATCCATCAGCCTTAAATAGTTATGGTAAACTACACTTTCGTCTTGGATCCATTTGAGAACTAAATCCTTATGATTCTTAATGCTAAATCACTCAAATGTATGGGTAGAAAATCCACTTGAATATATCGGATTTTACTTGGATTAATTGTAAATGATCAAGCAATGGTTGAAAAATGTAATACTGATGTAAATATAAAAATTCTGCTTCTGCGCCTTTGCCATGTGCAATCCTCTAATTGCTTTTGAGCCTCTGATAGCCTATGTGTGGTGAGTTCCAAAGGGAACAGAGATACTACAAAAGCCACTAATTTAAGCAGGAACAAGGATTCAATTTTTCCTCAAAAAAGTATGTACTCACTCTTAAGGTAAGACGAAGAAATGTCAAAAGAACCAAAAAAAAAAACCCAGAGCTAAAAGAAGGGAGGCCAGGTTAAACAATCAAAAATTGCTCAGAGCCTTCATCTTAAATGATTACAAACGGAAAACTAGATGAGAAATTTTAATTTAAGCATTCGTCCCAAATACTAGTAAACAGAACTGGTTTGGTAGCCAACACCCTGCAGTAACGCTCTGCATTTATTCTGGCAAGATGTTGCCGAGAAATATTTCAAACTGATTATGGATCTCAGTCAGCAGTTTCAAGACTTCAAGAGTACATTAATACTCGAGCTTAAAAAATTCCCTGCTGTAGTAGACATTCCCATTTAACATGTCACTGTGTAAACTTTTAAGAAACATTCCCACTACTTAACAAAGGTTGCAAAACTAAACAGGTAAGTAACTAACAGTTTAACATTGTGTTTATTTCTTCCCGCTGGTGCTCTCCAAATGCAGCTCCTGAAGGTTCAGCAACAGATCATCTGAATTCAAGAAAACCTTGTTGGCAGCATTTGATATTGTGTGTGCAATTTCTCTCGCCGCTTCAATTTTCCTTAGTGTGATAAATGCTGGATTGTTGGCAATGGCTTGACCGATCAGCTGGGCACTCTTGGCCTCACCCTGATAGCATAGAATGACAGCAAGATGTTTTAATCGAATGAAATTAGTTGCTCAATATTTGAAGAAGACTGACACTCAATAATTACCATGACCCCCCACCCCCCTCTCTCTCCCTCTTTAAACAACAAAATATATATGCATCACAGCCAGATTTCATTAATATGACACCATCAGGCCATACAAATGTGACAGTTAGGACATAGGTCAACCCAGCATGTCACACAATCAGAGACGTTATTATGCCCAAGGTAGCAGCTAAACAATTTTCTCCTTCAAAAACTTGATGCAGAAAATTGAATTAAAAAAACCATGGGGATCCAAAGTTAAGGAATTGATCATTTCTCTCACCTGTGCCCTGATAATAGCACTTCGTTTGTCTTGCTCCGCTTTTTCCACAACAAACTTGGCCCTCTCAGCTTCTTGTGCGGCTACCTGCTTAGCTTCAATTGCAGCTGTAAACTCCTTCCCAAAAGTCAGGCTAGTAATAGACACATCATCCAGTGCAACATTGAAGTTAGCCGCCCTTTCTGTCAATATTTTCCGTATTTCCCTACTAACATTCTACAGGGAACATGTAAGCTATCAAAAAAATGTTACTAGTTCTAATTTTATCCAGATTACTCAGCCTCATGAAGCTAGAATACCATGAAGCCAAAATATTAGGATGAAATGACCCACTCATGATAGGAACTTCATCTGATTATATTATGAAATTTATGACAATTGGGTATGATCGTAAATGTGTATAGCAATCAAGTCCAACAACAGAACATCTTCTCGCGCCCAATGAGCTTAACCTCCAACAAATGAGGTGGCATAGAATTACTAACAACACAAATTTGCACTTGCGGAAAAAGACGACATAAATTTTCAAACATGAATCCCAATACACAATATTACTCCATGACTCTGAAAAATGTTATTTGATAAGTGAATGGTCAAATAAAAAGGCCTAGTAGCCTACCTCCCTCTGAGTAATGAGCTGGCTTGCATTGTACTGTGCAACCACAGCTTTCAAAGTTTCATGAATGATTGAAGGCAGGACTCTTTCATTATAGTTCTCACCAAGAGTTCGATAAATTGTAGGTAATTGGTCTGGCACAGGACGGGTAAGAACTCGAAGAGCAATTTTTACCTATCCAACAAAATCAAGAGTGATTAAAAAGTCTTGGCTCGAAATTATTAATTTAACAATTATCATAGGAAAAATATGAATTAAAAAAATTGATTCCACAAATAACTATAACTATTATAAACAAGCAAACTGAAAAATGGTCATCGTCCATCATATTCACTTCAGTTGCATATGTACATTCAAAACATAGAACTCCACGAACACAATTGCACAACTTAGTAAGAAATCTCAGAAAGGCAAAAATAACATGCGCAGCCAGATATTTAGACATGTGCGACCCTTTAACTACAACATTTCTTTTTCCTTTCATCAACTCCCTGGATTTCAATTACCAAAAAAGTGGGAGACCGGATGGGTAGCTCCAGGGGTCGACCCTCCGAATCCGATGCCCAAGTCAATAATTAACTCAAGGATATTGTATATCCTTTTGGGGCGATAGTGCCATTCCTCGTTATTTTCCCACAGAGCTCCATTATAGGTGTATGGAATTGGATTGCTTCTGGGAATGGACTCTAGTCTCCTTATACCATTTCAAGGTCAGTTTCGCTACCCTAATTTAATACCCATGTTCTAGTAGTAAGGGTTTCACTTATAATTTCATGTGGGGACATAGGATTTCACCATATTTTCAATTCATGACATTGTTATTTCAACTTTATTAGGGTTGAATGTGTAAAGATTACAAATTGAGGTCAAACTATAACAATAAAATAATAATAATAATAATAAACTATACAATTATAAATAAATAACTAATATAATATAATTAATCTACTAATACTATGAATGCAATAATAGGACAAGTGTCCCGGAGCAAGCAAGATGAATGAAAGGTATCATGACTTAAAGAAATGACATACAACCGTGAGAGTGCATGGAGATAATGTGACAAGTGTATTACTAGTTTAAAAACAAATGTAAAAGAAGGGACAAGCTAAATCTATATAACAAGGGATAAGGCATTTCAAATCTCCCAAAGATTTAATCTTATGTTGATCTTTTCGTGGCTCAAATTATTCTAAACTTCTCTAAATTTAATTCGAGGGTTAATATTAATTATAAAATTTTAGATTTCCGTCCATTGCATCCCCCACACACTCTCTATCCTCATCCCTCAATCAAGCCCTAATTCACTCCACCCTAAATCAAATGCCTCCTCTCTCTCTCTATATCTCTCTGCAGCAACCAACCACCTACTAAATAGACTAGCGACGTTCCTCACCATCATTGGATTCTATTCCAGCGTTCAAGAGAGGTTCGTCATTCACACCCATCTCCCTTCCTCTGTCTCAGTTTCCCGTCCACATCGCAAAATTTCTCAATCACATGTTCGATTAGTCTTTGACTTCCTCCATCTCTCTGTCTCTCACTCAAAATGAAGCCACTCAAAATTTGTTAATGCCTCAAAAGAAAAGGGGAAGAAAAGCGAAGGGAGATCTTTAACATTGGATGTTGCAACTATTATCTCCGTCAATATTGGTCTTGGGATCTGCATTCATAGTTCCTTGAAGCAGTTTGAAAAGGTAAAGACCCCCTTTCACCTTCCCTGCTCTTGCTCACATCATTATACACAGGTTTCAAATGAAATTCAAGTGCATTGATTTGATGTTGAGATGCTTGAATTAATTTGTTCAATGAGTTGATTTGTTTTATTATGGAATGATTTTCCGCAAAATTGGTTCAAATAATTAGTTTAAGTACATTGAAGTGTTAAATGCATTGATTTGTTCAACTAATGTCAGTTTCATTAATTTTTTGAGGAAATTTTGTTGCAAATTGAATTTTTGGGACTTGGAGTGAGTGGATGTAGGATTGGTTTAACAATCCTTGAATTTTAAACATCTGAATGTTCACAAAAATAATTACGTTGATTTACTCAAAAAAATTGACCTTCTGCACTCTATCTCTTATTGGGGGGGACGAAGGGGGAGGGGGATGATGAGGAAAGGTATAAATGTTTCTACTGCTTTGTTAATGGTGAGTGAGGTGTGAGCTGGTTTTGTCAAAGAGGTTTGTTGGGACATTTTGGGCATAATATTTGTTTTGCTAAATCTAAATTGATATTCTAACAATATTGCTTGGGTCTTCCACTTTGTTTTTTTTTTTTTAGTGATAAAAAGTGCCTCAAGGCACAAAAGGTTTTTCTTGGGAGATTTTCTTATTAGAGAGGATTCGCATTTTGCAAAGAATTTTGAAAGGAATGCAATGCAACAGATTTTGTGAAATAAATATGGGTGCTAAATTTCGAGATTTGAGACCCCAGGAGTTATGAGGGAAACAGGAGAAAGATGCACAATGGGCATTGAAGAAAGAGCAAGACTTTTGAAAACCAAACTCCGAATCCAAATTAGGATTGGTATATGCAAACAAAGAGGTCAACTAATAGCAATTTTATTGGCTAATGATATGGCAAGGATTCGGGATTTCCTTCTGCATTATCTCCACTAGATTTGTAGTAGAAACATATTTTCCTCTAATTTGGCATATTTGAACATTTTAACCGGGGGGCCGGCTTCCAAGCGTGCAGTTTACCTCGGGTAGATTGGAGTCCCAATGACCTCAATCTTGCAAAACATTAAGAAATCCGATTTTCTAATCTATTAAGATGGGTCTTGATTTTGGTTTTTCTTTTTACTTTCTATTTTAAAGTTTTAGGGGTTTGCTTTGATTCAATGGTTTGCTAATTAGTATGCCTTCTAATTGAATTTTTTTTTCCATAATAGATGTCTTTAGGCTCGAGCATTAGCTAGAATTTTTTCTTCACAAATAAATTTTGCCTATTTGATCCGTAAAATATTTTCCCTGAATTTTTTGCGGCAAAGTGCCTTCAAACTTTATTATTATTTATGTGATTTTGTTGATTGAATTGTTAAATCAATCAGATGGGTCTACTTGACTACTTCCATTTTTTCCAGTTTTTAATTCAAGTTTTTTAATGTGAGTTTTGTCTATTTGATTTATAGTATTTTTTGGTCACTTTTCGTTGTTTCACAGTGCCTTCAGACACGATCAATCGCTAGATTTGAATTTATCTTTTCTAATTGTCAATTGTTTGTGTTATGCAGTTCAGTTCGTTTAGGCACGATTAATGTTGGCAGTTTTTTTTATTACGTAGTGTGCCTTAAGGCACGGGAAATTGTTGGTGTACATATATACGAGAAGAAGTTGACCCATGGTAGCGGAGAGAGTGACAGCTGGAAATGGTACATGATTAGGTTGAGTTTCTTGGTACTATAAATCAGAATATTCCATGATTAAGTTGAGTTTCCAGGTACTATAAATCAAAAATCAAATATTCGGATAAACCAAACCCACATTACGTTTTAGATAAGTGAAGGCCACAAGGGGGAATTTTTTTCAAATCATATATTAGTCCTTAATACTTAGCTTATTTTAATTTATTCTCCAGACAAAATTTCTGGAATTACGTATCAGCCCCACAGTTTTTAATATTACATTCCAGCACCCCAACAGTCTTACAATTATACTTCAGCACCCCAATAGTCTTAAATGTTATATTGCAGCACCTCAACAGTCTTAAATATTGCATTTCAGCACCCCCCAACGGTTTTAGATATTACATTTCAGCATCCCAACAGTTTTAAACATTACATTTCAGCACCCAGCAGTTTTGCATACCACATTTCAGCAACCCAAAAGTCTTAAATACTACATTTTAGCACCCAAGAGTCTTAAATGTTACATTTCAGTCTGCCCCCATATTTTGAGTACTATGAGGTCACCCCAAAAAAAATTCAAAAGTTCCAATTATACCCCTAACATAGTCATAGAAATCATAAATTAGCCCCTATACTTCTATAAAAATACTATGAGACTACACCTTATTAATTATAAACGCAACATAGTTCTAAAAAATCACATAACCATTCAAGTTTTTAAATTACACCACAAAGGCATGGTACCTTCCAACTACACTCCAAAAAGAGTTTTAAAAGAAGGCTAAAATGCAAAAAACCCGCCCGTACTAAGCCTCGATCTCACTTCACCACCTTTTACTTTTATGGGTTTCACTTAACCCCCTCCAAGTTGTGAACAAACTGTAAAACTAACAGAATCAGTTTATTGTAACGGTAGGATAATTGCAAGCGCTAATTAAGCATGTGTTATAAAATAAATAAATTTTTTTCTTAAATTTAAAAATTAATTACCAATTTACCCTTCCTCTTCCTCTCTCTACAGGCCAGCAAACGACTTATTTTCTCAAATCTAAGGTCAGTGTTGAACTCCTTAACCCCAAATTAGCTAGACAAACCTCCCTTTTGAAGTTTTAACAAGTTTTTCAAAGTTTTGATTTTCAAGTTTCCAAACCCTAGTGGGTTTCTTCACCACACACACACAAACCTCGACCATGGCTTCTAAACACTCCAATACATTGTACTACAACCCCATAACACAACCAAAGCTTTAATTGAGGAAGAAAGAGTTGTTTGCTATGTAAACCTTTTGAAAATCTAATTATCACTTTAAGCTTCAAACACAAATTCGAGCACACAGACAATATGAAACTTAAATTTAATCACACCAATGAAATCCTCATAAAAAAATAAACCTGACTAGCTCATTTGCTAGTTGCAGGTAATGTTTTTTAAAGATAAAGGTTCTACAATGATGACATCACAAAGAAAATTTGATTGCAATCAGGGTATAGTTTAGTCTTTTTGTACAAATTAGTACCTCACTTAATATTTGTAATTTGTTTACAAGTTGGAAGAGGTTAAGTGAAACCTGTAAAAATAGAGGGGGTGAAGTGTGATCAACGCTTAGTACAAGGGGGGGTTTTTGCATTTTACCCTAAAAAGAATGAATGAATCTCTAAAGCTTTGAAAAATCATACTAGTGTCCAAAAAAAGTTAATAATTGTTTGAACCGTTCTCTAAGAGTAGCAAAAATTCCACCAAGGCCCATAGAATCCCCATATCTTTCAAATAGAACCCCACTAATATTGACCCGATACTTCATTAAGCATGATTTTGATGATTACAAACATCTTAACTGGGAATTAATGTGTATTCGTGTATGGACAATCGTAAGATCAAGTTTTTGTGATTGCCAAAGATGAACAAGAAAGAAAAGAAAATGGCACAAACACAAGGCAATGAAAATAAGGCAAAAAGGCCATCCAGAAGGGCATCCAGTATGTCGGATGGACAATCCGAAAGATCTCAAACTGTTTCTGGAAAATCGCTAGGGCTAAAGAAGAAGGAGCATCTAGAAGCAGAACCAGTAGACCACTTGCCTCAATCACTGTTCAACCGGTATGCCGAATGAATAGGCAGCAGATCATCAAAATTTTCTAAAAATCAAAGTGTTTGAGGAATGCTGGACAGGAAAAGAGGATGGGGACGTCCAGCCTACCTGATATAGCCGTTACTACTCCAACGGCTACATCTAGAAGACTACCCGGTTTGCCGGATAGGCTTCGGCTGCGACGATTTTAAATGCCAACTCAATCATTCTATCATTTAAGACTTCCAAAGTATAAATAGGGGTGAATGGGAGCTAAAGAACA